GCCCCTCCCAGCTGATTCTGCCTGAGGCACCGGGGCCTTTATTCTCCTTCCTGCTTCTGTTGGGAGGAGGCCTTGCCCTTTTTGATCCCGCTTGCCCACTTCTATAAATACCCGACTTGAGTTTAATAAAGTGGCCATTTACTCTTGGTAAATGAGCAAGGTCTTTTTTGTGTGTGTGTCTCTTTAAACCCTCAGGACAATCGTCCATTCTCATGGGCCCGAGTTCGGGAAGGTGCGCGCCTGGATCGGGTGTGGGTATCCACTGGAAGGCGGGGTCTTACAGACTTCCAAAGAAGATATCCAACTAGATCATCATTTTTCAAATACCTGGTATTTTCAAAGACTCTAAAGTACTCTAGGAAATACACTTCATATAAAATAAAACACTATTTCAATCCTAATGACATACCAACAGATCATCCCTTGCTCACTCCACATCAAAGAAGCTTCTCCTTGTACTAGATGGGGACTTGTGATAAATATATGTACAACACCTCAACAGAGCATGAAATCAGCTGGGGCTCATGTGGCTATCTCAATGTGCCTAACAAGCAAGCTAGGGCAGAGTGGAGAAGACAAAGCCTGTATGTCTGAAGGATATCTCAGAGTTTAGTAGGCAAGACAGCTGTGAGACAGCTCCACGCAGGGCAGCACAGAAGCAAGAGGATCAGAGGAGGATGCAGAGAGCACCGGGGAACAAGACAAAAATCAGGAACCTGAAGAAAAGGGTCAATATAGTTTAGTGTGTGGGTAAGTGTTCGTGAACACCTGAATGAGTTTTGAGGTTGATTTGGGAAGAGTTAGAGAGTTATGGATGTTTATACCAGAAAAAGTATCTGACTTTTTTAAAAACTAGAGAAAGAGAGAGAAAAGATTTTTTTTTTTAAGAAATTGTTAGGAATATGAATCTAGTGCTTTGAAACAGCGAGTGCAGGCAGAGCTGTGCCAGCAGGAGACTCCTCATCAAGATTACTACAACAGCGTAAACAAGAAATAATGAGAAGCCTACCTGCAGACTAGTAACAGTGGGAAGAGGAAATGAAAGGGAGTGCACAGGGCTTGTCAGTGCTGTACAGAATGGTCAGGGGAGCTTTGGAACCCTGAGAAAAAGAATAGAGACATTCCTGTCAAAGCCAAAATAAGAGAATAAGCCGTGTTCAAGTTGGAAAAAAAGGAGACAGGTTGTTTTGGGAACATAAACACCTAAAATAGAGATGTCTATAAGCAATTAGCATGTCCGGCCTAAAGCACCAAGGAAGCTGGGAAGGAGGAAGGAGGGAGGGAAGGGGAGGGCGATGGAGAATCAGATGGTGATCTTTTGCTATTCTATGAAGCCAACCTTCAGCAGAACCTTCCCAAATCCTGAACATTGTTTAGGCCCTAATCCTGAGCTTTGTCACTCACTGAATAGAACTTATTCTTCTGAATTCGGGGCCATGTAATTGGCATTCTCAATCAACAGAACCTATCTTCATGCTTTGGAATCCTTCGTCCACAGGCCATTATTCTGAACACTGTTTATCTGTTACAGAATCCTTTTTTATTTAAAAAATTTATTATTTTTTATTTTTTATTGTTTTTATAGAGCTATATATTTTTCTCTGCTTCCCTACCTTCCTCTCTCCTCCCCCTCTACCCTTTCCCATGATCCCCACACTCCCAGTTTACTCAGGAGATCTTGTCTTTTCTACTTTCCATATAAATTAGATCCATGTATGTCTCTCTTAGGGTTCTCTTTGTTGTCTAGGTTCTCTGGGATTGTGAATTGTAGGCTGGTTTTTCTTTGCTTTATGTCTAAAAGCCACTTATGAGTGAGTACATATGATAATTGTCTTTCTGGATCTGGGTTACCTCACTCAATATGTTTTCTAGATTCATGCTTTGCCTACAAATTACAAGATGTCATTATTTTTTTCACTATGTCATACTTCGTTGTGTAAATGTACCACATCTTTTTTATCCATTCTTCAGTCAAGGGACATTCAAAATGTTTCTAGGTTCTGGCTATGACAAACAGTGCTGCTATGAACTTACTTGAGTATATGTCCTTTTGGTACGATTGAGCATCCTTTGGGTATATACCCAAAAGTGGTATTGCTGGGTCTTGAGGTAGGTTGTGTTGGAGGCAAGGAAATGTGAACCTATTTCCACATTGACCAAAGGTCAGAGAGTTGGAACTTTTCTCTAGTTCCTTCAAGGTTTATATGCTTCTTCCTCAAACAAAGGTCCCACCTTGATGTTGCTCAGAGAGTTCTGCTCTCTCAGGGTTATTGTCAACAGGTGTGGCTAACTGCCAGCCCTTCTGCTCTAGAAATAGACAAGTAGGTTGTTCCTACCTCAAACAAGAGTCTTAGGATTCAACTAAGTTCCAGTTCCTTTTGTGGAGATAACTTGGGACTCCACCCAGGAAGTGGTTTGCCTACAGAATATTTTGGTTTAGTGTGTGAGTGTGACTGGTTTTGTTCTAGCAACAGAATGGTTAACTATGAATGTAGCCCGTGACCTTCAATTGGTATATTCATTTCCTTGTATCATGTTAATGTAGTCTTTTGTCTTACTCCTACCTTTTGGGGTCAGGAATATTTTAAGCAGTTGGAAATTAAATGCAGGCAAATTTTCAGTACTCACTGGAATTCCCTCCTGATATTATCCTATATGTTTCTCCATTTTATTATTTTCATTTGTGTCTTTATATTCTTTACTATATTTCTAAATCCCCATGCCTCTACCCTGGCAAGAGGTATTTTTGTTGAGACTATTCCTGACAGTTGTTTCCTAATTTTCTGCAAAGTTGTCATACTGTTTTCCAAAGTGGTTGCTGGTATAGAATGTCCTTCTGTCTATGTGTTGCTTTTATGGATTAATGAATAAAGAAGCTGCTTTGAGTCTATTGCAGAGCAGGACAGAACAGAGCTAGGTGGAGAAAACTAAACTGAATGCTGGAAGAAAAAGAATGGAGTAGAGAGAGGCCATGGAGCTGCTGCTGGAAACAGACATGCTGGAACTTTGCTGGTAGACCATGACCTTGTAGTGGTACACAGATTAATAGAAATGGATTAAATTAAGATGTAGGAGTTAGCCAATAAGAAGCTAGAGCTAATGGGCCAAACAGTGATTTAATTAATATAGTTTCTGTGTGGTTATTTCAAGGCTGAGTATCCAGAAACAAACTAGCGGCCTTCCTACAACTAATTGACACCAAACCTGAGAAAGCTTGGAAAGGAATTCTAGCCACAAAAGAGTTAAGCACGGCTTAATGCCATGGCTCCTTTAAGAGAGGTTTTCCTGATTTAGCGGTAGCAGAAAGAAGCCATGCAATTTTGAAACAGTAGCTATCTGGGCCATGCTGCCAGCACAAACTCTGGAGCTTTCAGGAGGCTGATCATTTAAATGGGGTTTGTGGGCAGCATGCTGTAAATTACTTGGTGGCAGCATGAGCCAACTGGTTATCAGAGTTGAGATGATAAGGACAGCTCCCACCCGGCAGTCTCAGAGGCAGTGAATGAACCTCCTCCTCCAGCATGTCATACTAGGTAGAGCCAAAAGGCAAAGCAGCCTTAGTCATAGTAAGGTTGCTTAGCTTTTTAAGAAGCACTTCTGGTCAGAAACGGATTATGGATACACAATAAAGACAAATTCAGATGGAAAAGGTCTCTAAATGGGTCACAGTGTTGGATAAATGTATATAGGCTTGTGAGAGAGAAGAAAAAGAATATAGAGAGTTGGAAAAGAAGCAAATCGTTCAAAAAAAACAAAGTCTTTAAAGAGACAGAATACAATCATAGATTAAAAGGAGTAAAGAAATAATAAGTCACAAAAAGATGGATATACACATAGAGTCTGGATTATGGATACTATTATGTTTTCTTCAAATTTTTTGACTGCAGAGAGACATTTGATACTGGAGACTGCTAAGCTAAGCCAAAATGTATTCTTTAAAAATATCTTGATTTCAAAATTTGGGTCTAAGGTTTTGTTGCTTTGGAAAAGAGGTTCTACTTTTGTTTCCACAGAGGATGAGAACCTGTGGAATCCTTCTAGACTAATGTATCCTTGATGCACCAAGACCCCCCAAAAGGTCATGATGAACACCTCCAAAAATACTTCGCCCAACAAAAATGAGGAAGAAGTTTGGAGAGAACTATGCCCAAATTCCCTAAGTGATTGTTTATAAATGTCTGTTTACATTTAAAGAGGGACACACTATAGAGATTTGCATTGGTATGGATCTTGCACTTAGGTCAGCACTCAGGAGGCAGAGGCAGGTGGATCTCTATAAGTTCAAGGCCAACTTGGTCTACCAAGTGAGTGCCAGGACAGGCTCCAAAGATTCAGAGAAACCCTGTCTCAAAAAACATAATAAATAAATAAAAAATATACTTTTCAAGAGAGTATCCAGGAGTCAAGTCTAAAGCATTGTTATGATGAATGTCAGGAAAGAACTTTTATTTAAAATTTTATTAACTATAAATGTGTAAGAAAAATAAACCACTTGGTCAGACTCCAGAAGTTTTCTGATCCAACACTGGCTAAAGTCATGCTGACCTGACTTTTGTTCTTAACCTCATTGACCTGGAATATTTTCCTCCCTACAATTCGTAGGGTAGGTAGTAAGAAAGTGAAATAGAGAACATGCATTATAGCTTAAAAAGTTGAATAAAAATAACTTAATTCAATAATAAATTATTGAGGTCAAGAAAACTAGTGAATACTATGGGAACAAAAAAAAGACAGACATACTCACAAGGAAAGAGGGCAAAAATATCTTAAACTTTTAAAACACAGAATACAGAACTTTCACAGATCAAATTTGCAGGGTCAGCAAGATGGTTCAGCAAGCAAAGGCAGTTGCCTTCAATTCTGCTCACTTCAGCCAACCCTCACTTACAAACACAAACTAAATACATGTAATAAACAGTTTAAAAATGTAAAGCAAAAAATTAAGAGTAGTATAAGGAATGAAAACTGAAAAACAATGATCTTTACAAAGTTCTCATTACCTGATAGATAAGCAGAATGACCTGACTCCAGAACACCAAACTGCTTATCCTCAGCGACGGTCAGGGAAGCAAAGATCACACAGAATCACGTGCCTATGCACCACCATAGTGTCAGGTTTAAGTCTGGTGACTCTGAGCCTGAGTCTCCACACCCTGTCACTCAGAGGTCCAGTCAGTTGGTAAACATGAGTCGCTCTGACCATCACAGCTGCACCCCCGCAGTTCCCATAGCAGCCCAAAGTGTGGTCAATCGGGATGGAGTCAGAAGATACAGCGAGACCACAGAGGCAAAACTAGCCAGCTGTGGAGCAGAACTTTAAAGTAAAACACAGCAGGAGGAACTTGGGGGACAGTGAACTCTTCCACTCACCCCCTGGAGTGATGGATATATGATTTTTTACATTGGCCAAGGTCGTAAACTTAAAGATAAGATTTAATTTTGAAAAGTTGAGTTGGTCATCAGTTGGAGATGACCCTTTTCCTAAACAGCCATCAGGTGTTACTCTGCCCCTCAGGACCAGCGGTCAGAGCCCCAAGTCAGGCAGGCACTAAGCACTGGTCCTCAGGGGCTGCGGCACTGCTGACTGTGGAGGACACTGTGAGACCCAGAGCCACTGGGACTGTGTTCAGGCACACACATCCAGAGGGACAGTGAGAGTTGTCCCCAACAGTGACTTCATGGCTCGCAGACTGCAGCCGTTGAAAGGGACTGCTCTGGCAGCTTTCGAGACAGTGACTTTTGAGCACCCTTAACAAAAGTATTTTCAGTGTTCCAACGGTCAGTTACCCTGTTAGTATGTTCTGGCTGTATCAGTCTTGGATGTTGCATAAGCAAACTTGAGCACTCCTGCAGCAGGGCTCGTGAAGAGAGCTTTTATGTGGCCACTGAGTCAACATGAGTAGAAAAAAAGAACAGAGAGAAAAGGGGGTGCATGAGCTATGGTGGGTTCATACAGTAGAATGCCCACCCAGAAGGAAAATAAACTATAATTTAAGGCACTGTGATGTCAGAGTCTGGTGCTAGCCAGGACCATAAATTATCTCTCTGGACCAGACCCCATCATAAGCTATCTCTCTCTCTGGACCAGCGTGGAGGTGCAGGAATAAAGACACGACGCATATGGTTTTATCGGGAGGGAGATTCTCAGTGATCACGTGTGAAATCCTGAGTTCAAAACCTGAAGAACTTCTCTCTTTATTTTCCAAACAGTTTTTATACCAACACTTAACTGAGGTGGAAATACATTAGCATTCTGTTTTCTAGGTAACTAGGTAACTGGCTTTCAGTCATGTCCACATCTTCCTGGTCTGTATGCTAGCTCAGTCACAGCCTGAATTAGCACCTCTTTTCAGGCACCCCCCAAATTACAAAGAAAGAACAGAGCAACATCCTGACCTTTTGTTAGGGTAGCAAGAGCCTGTCTGGAAGGTTACATGACCATTCCAGATACTGACTATGGCTTTAGAGCCTGGCTGCCATATCGTATAGAAATATGGGCCTCACTGTGAGTGATTTACAAACAGAAATGAGAGAAAAACACTTGGAAGGACACACATTCTAGGAGTCTATTATTAGACTATTATTAGTCTATAATTAGTCTATTATTGCACGAACATATTAACACTCTAACTATTAGATAAGAAAGCACAAATATGTGGCAAAACAATAAATATGCAAGGAAATTATCAGGCTGTAAAAGAGAAGAGTGGGGAAGAGGGAAGCTCCAGAGCAGTTGAAACACCTTTACTAAGTGGTTATCTGTACAATTGATGCACTTTTCTCTATTCGATATATTGTAATAAAAGATAAGAAAAGAACTAATGAAAAGAACTCTTGGTGCCAGCTTGGAGCGATGGGTTTGTAGATGACATACAAATACTATGACATACAAATATCACAGGAGGAGTCAGGCAGGGCTGTGACTGGACAACCAGCCAGCAGGAATGCTATTTATTCAGAGTTCTCAGCACAGGACACAGAGAATTCCGGGTAGAGGTGAAAGACCAGTCAGAAAGACACTTCCAAAGCAAGCTTCCCGAGGAAAATGGGCACCAAGGGAAAAGTAAGTAAACAACCTACATTTAGCTTCTGCTTCTGCTGTGTCTCTGAACATTTGCTGAAGATGCTGCCCCCCAGGTTACACTCAAGAATCAGCAAATTAAAGTCAACTAAAGGGACAGGAACAGTCCATAAGCTAGAAATTGGTTCTAAGAAAAAACAACTCTGGATTTGCTGAAGTCTTCTTGGGTACTCACACACTATTTAAATGAGGATTGGGGGGGGAATTAAGTTACCTCTGCTCTAAGCATCAATGCAGCATATGTATTTAAAGCATGGGAATGAATGGGACAAGGTAGATTACAAAATGCTGTGTATATGACCCCATGTGAGGACACCCAAGGGCTTTCCAACATAAGGAGAAAGAAAGTAAAGTAATAAGAGAATTGGTGGATTTTTTTTCTTACTTATATTTCAAAATTTCTTGTAATGAATGTATATTGCACTTGTAATTTAAGAAATAATTTAAATCATAATTAAATATTGCAAAGAACAATTGAGAAGGTTTCAAATGGTTAAAAAAGATTATAATGAAAGACCCCCGGTGTGGGGAGACTCTCACTCAAGCCTCGGGATGACACGACCCCCCCAGTAACTCACAAGAGACCGTCCTTGCTGCAATCATGCAAGGTTTAATCGACAAGATGGGAACCAGTGCACTGGGGCCGAGACTCATACCCATGCAGGGGAAGAGTTCGACCCCAAGTAACTGGGAGAAGGGGTTTTTAAGGGGAGAGACCACAGCCCAGTAATCCAAAGGGGTAGGGAGGGCATCATAGAAAGTTCCAAAAATACCAATGATAATCACAAGGGGGCAACTCCCTGTTTCTCAAGATTATTCTCAAGATTACAATCTAACTTTATCTTCAGCTAGTTCCTGAAACTGAACCGGCTAATCCTAGATTTCTGATTCTTCCCTCCCTGCTTAGATTTTTGGCTCTATATTTTCCTGCTAGGGGGATCTGGATTTATCCAGGTCTTTTAATACCAATAGTACAGGCAATAATAAAGACCAAGGATTACAGGCTTTCTTTCAATTTTCCTTATATTTGAAATTTAAAATGTAATTTGAGACTGAAAAAAAAATAATGTAGAATTGTAAAACCTTAGGTGTTTAGTTTCCTATCATACATTTTTACTCAATTTTTATGATGAGAACAATTCTTATTTAACTTACATTCTACTGATAAATTGACTGTGTCTCACTTCCCAGATCTTTTTACCATCTGGAGACATTAGTTGTTCACAGGTCAGTGAGTTTATAATGGGACTTTCTTCTCTAGCAGTTTCAGAGTGGTAAGAATATCTGTTGGTCCAATGACCACACTTTAACTTCTGGTCAAACTTTACCTTACCATTACACATTAATTAAAAATAATAAACTGCTACAAATGACCTTCTGTGTGTTCAATAACCACCCCTGGGAGACTACACTGATGGGGTCAGAGGAATTAAAAGAGAAGATTCTTCACCATTGTCCTATAAAGGCAACTAAATCCCAAGGAACTGTACAACATCTTTCAAAATGTTATGTAACTGTGAGGAACCACCTGCTCTCTTGTCCTGGGTGGCGTTAGATATATCACTGAGTGGACTCTAACAAGTGTCCAGTCATTAAAGAGGATAGTCAACACAGGAAAAATTGACTCCACACTTCCAAGTGAAACACTGGCCAAGCAAGGCCTTTGACTTATCCTCACATAGATGGACAAAATGGCAAAGGAAAGACTAGTTGAGCCAGGGGCTTCTCCTGAGTCCAAGTCATGCCTGAGGACCAACTTCAACTGCCTTTGGCAGAAAAAAAGAAAGGATTAATTTTGGGCCCCTCCACGGTCTTAAACACTCAGCATAAAGATATAACCAGAATTAAAACAGTTTGTGTTTATTTAACAGTTTAAGGAACTACAGTCCTCAGACACGGTATGATAAATTATTTGTACAACATTCTCACTAAAGATTCTAGTCCTGATAAATATATACATTGCACAGACACAGGACAAGACCTTAACTTACTTCACCACTGCAATGTCTGTCTGCAGGGGAAAAGAAAACAGTCCTAGGTTCTTAGTTATTGAGGCCAGCTCTGTGGAAAGCTGTGTTTTCCAACCACAGAACACTGTTTCTGGAAGGGCACGTCTCAGCTCCCAGGTGTCCTTCTGTACTCTGACCGTTCATGGACAGTGACCAAAGGATATTGCCACATATCCTGTTGTCAAACTAGGGTCTGAAAAATTATTCAGGATGCCCAAATGATGTCTTTGGGACACTGTGACACAATTCTGCTTTAAAAAAAAAAAACTCCTCTTTTAGTTTACTAGTTAGCTGCCACTGTCTGGTTGGGACTCTGGATTGTGACATCTGGATTTCAGTCAGGTGTGGCCCATACTGTCCACGTCCACTGGGCATTACACCTATCCGGGCAGTAATAGTGCATCTATTACGATAGCGGGCAAATTACTTTACCTACTTTTACAAAGTTTACAAGTGGTCACTCCTTGTTCAAGAGTCTAATGTAACAGCAGCTGACTGCCCAGCTGCTCTTGGATCTGTCAACTATGACATACATCGATTGAGACAGAGCAGAGAATTTCTTTGACGTTCTACGGGATTCTACTATGGAGGTTCTGGTGCACTGTCCAGCCAGCTTCACAGCTATGTTTCACCATGCTAAGTAGGACTTAGGTTATTTATAAGGTAGAAAATTTTTCTTCACTAACTTTGTCTCTTCTTCACGAGAACACAGTAAAAGAAACTCAGTAGCTGACTTCTGAGCTTGAATTGGCCAATGAAAGGCTCCTTGAATTCGTGAACGGGACAAGTGACCTCCTCCGTGGTCTACAACTTATGGTGACAGCACAAAGCATCAATCTTATTGATACCTATTACAAAGCCTGCCAAGGATACTTTAAATGGTTTTCTTGCCCATTCTCTGTCTCTAATAAGGGCAAAGCTGCCCCAACTATTCTAACTACACGTTCAGTAGTTATAGTACTACTAATAGTCTCACTTGTTATATGTTACGGGTGCTACCTCAACAGTTTGACACACTTCTAAAAAACTGCTACCATCAAATGGCTATTAGGTTCTGAATCCTCAACATCACCTAAGCATTTCCTTGGTCCCTTAGACCAACCCATGCCTGAGGCAGTCTTACTGCTGCCCCTCCCTCATCAATCCTTTTGTCAACTCAAAACAGCTAAGAGGGGTCAGCAACTCAAAATCCCTACAGTAGTTAGGGTGACCTCTGAGAGGGGGGCAAAGAGGAGCCAGGAATCAGGTTCCCTGGTGGACAAATAGGGAAAGAAACCAGAGATAAGCAATAAAAACAGTAAACTTTTAAGATGGCTGACGTTTTCCTCAACCCCCTGACCTGAGACAAAAATATTAGGCATAGACCCTGTCTCAAAAAAAAAAAATTAGGCATGTTCATGACCTAGTTGAACAAGTTCTAGGCCAGATCAGGACATGTATACAACAGTTGGGAGTCAATCCACCATTCCACTTTTCCTGAAACCAAAGAACCCTAAATTAGAGGAGGAAGACTCTTCAGACACTTAAAAAGCCCCTGCCCTGAGAGGAGGTGGGATTTGGGAACCCCTGAGTACCCCATGCTTTGCAGGTCTTTTTCTCTGTGTCTTCCTTAAACTGCTGATTCTGTCTACTCCCGCTTGCTGTGCTCAAGAGTTCTCTGCTGCTACTCAAGACTTGCCCTGCCTTTTAATTCTTTAGCAGGCAGAGAAAATGAACCCAATCAAGATGTCTAGACTATAAAAAGAGTGAGACGAAAGGTACCTATTGTTCCAAGTGAGATTTTAAAAAGGGGATCAGGTGTTCTACCTTCAGGTCTCTTTAATTCTGGTGGTTTTCGTAATCCGTAAACCCATGTTACATGTTTTAAATTCAGGCAGGAAGCAAGCATGGTAATCACTCATGGTGATTGTCTTCTTATTCAAAGGTGACTATCTAGGTGTGGAAAGGCTCTTTATAGGACAGATTCTAATTGGTCTTAATAATAAAAAACCTGAAGTCAGATATCAGGGGGTAGAAGATGAAGATCAGAGAAGCAGAGCAGTCAGACACTAGCTCTTACCTCTATGGAATCCTCAAACTGAATGGGCGAGATCCTGTCTCTACCCGCCTTGTATTCCAGTCTCCACATACTAGTGTTGGGATTAAAGACATGTGCCTCTCACGTACTGGAATTAAGCATGTAAACCACCACTGCCTGGCCTCTATCGCTAACTAGTGATTATCTCCACACTCTGATCTCCAGTCAAGCTTTATTTGTTAAAGCACCAATAAACTATCACCACATTTTCCCATTTTTGTCTAAAATATAAAAGGTTATAACTAATATAAGAAAAACTATATACAGTAAGGACAACCTGTCTATCTAAAATATATCTCTGTCTGACCTTGAGAACATACCTAATATGACTACAAGTTCAATTATAACAGGAGACTAATTACTAGCCTTCATTTCCTTATTACCCTAAATAATTGGCAAAAAAAACTTCCAAAGGCTAAAAATTTGCATTACCTTGTTGCATAGGTACAATAACTTAGACAAGATTCAAAATGTATGTAAAGTATGTTTTAACAAAGTTAATTTTAACTTTGTATCAATATGCAAAAATTCATATCAATGTAAAATAATTAAGACTATTTGTTGCTTTTTTGGTTTAAAAATAGATTTAATAATCTACCTTTTTATTCTATTTCTATATCCCCCCTTTTCCTTTTCAGAGTAGATTCAATAATCTACTCTTATATTCTATCATATCTATATTCCCTTTTTTCATTTCAAAACAAGAACTCTGAATCTGATCACCTTTGTTCAACTTTTTTCCTGACCATTACCAATAACAACTTTTAACCAACCCCCCTAAACAATGACAAATATTCATAGCCCACTGAATGACCAACACACCTCTTGGGAATGTGGGTGTTGTGTTCTTAAATTTACTTCCTGCTATCTAGGAGTGATGGTATCTTTAGGGAATC